ACCCACCAGAAGTAGTGGAAAAGAAAGGATACAGGGGACATGGACCTGTTTAGAAAGCTTCTTTGGAGAACTCCTGTCTGTGTTGTCTAGAAATCTTCAGTTCAGTTCACAGGTCAGCAACAGCAGCTCAATCCACTCGCAAACACTTCACAGATACACCAGCAGTCCAGTTCACAAGAGTCAGGATAGTAAACATGAATCAGCAGGTGGCACTACCTAGCAGAGATAGTCAGGCCCCAGTGTCTGCTGGAGTCAGTAGGAGGAACCAGGGAGAAACCTCAGGAGAAGTTCTCAGCTGTGCCTCTCTCAGGGAAACAAAGATGAGCAGAAGACCCACAAGTGTTGCCCAGTTAGCTCTATAAGCAAGCCTAGCTCAGCCTCCGTCACTGTCTGCCCAGTCTTATTTATATCCTCCAAACATTACAGGTCCTCTGTAGGTCTCACCTCAGCATGTGTCTTGTCTTAGTATGTGTACCTGTCTCAGCTGACATCACTCTGCCAAACAGCCCAAGTCCAAGAAACTGCAGCACACCATCAGAAGGTTTTTTGGTGCATTTCTCTCTCTGGAGTCCTGATAAATGCAGCTCAACTACACAACGTAAAGCTAGGCTAATACATGGGTGTTGTTAGCAAAGAATCCTTCATCATGTGTCCTTTCACGTGTTTGCTTTAGCAAAACATCCTTTCACCTGTATCTGCTTCAGCTAACCACTCCTTCACGAGTCTGCCTTCGTCTTTCACCTGTGTCCACTTTACAAAAACACTCCTTTTATGTGTTTGTCCCAGCAAAACACCTTCCAACTGACTTTCCAAAGAACCCTTAAGTTTCCAATTCACATACACACAAATAAACATGATTTTTAAATTTTCCAAAAAATAAAAAGGAGGGAAAAAAGGAGGTATGAAGTTGAATTCCTATAATCCCAGTAAGGGGGGGCTGAGGGGCAGGACTGTTAGTTCAGGAGTATGTGCTTGCCTGGACAACATAGTGAAACTACTTGGTGAAAACAATATGCTTAAAATGGCAATTTTTATGTATACTGTATCTTTTTTTTTTTTTTTTTTTGGTTTTTCGATTTGTTTTTTTGGTTTTCTGTAGACCAGGCTAGCCTCAAACTCAGAAATCCACCTGCCTCTGCCTCCCAAGTGCTGGGATTAAAAGTGTGCGCCACCACTGCCCGGCCCAGCATGTATTCTGTATCTTACCACAACTAAAAGAAAGTGTTTATCTTAAAATGTTATATGTTTGTCTATAAGCATACGTGTGGCTTGCAGAACCTAGAAGAGGGTGACAGATTCTCCAGAGCTGGAGTTACTGGCAGGTATAAGCCACCCCATGTAAGTATTAGGAATTGAATTCTAGTTCTCTGTGAGAGAAGCAAGAGCTCCTAACATTCTTGGGCCGTGGTGGTGCACAGCTTTAATCTTAGGACATGGGAAGTAGAGGAAGGTGGATCTCTATGGGTTCGAGGCCAGGCTGGTCTACATATTGAGTTCCATGCTAGCCAAGGCTATATACAGTGAGACCTCAAAAACAAAAACAGACAAACCAAAAAAAAAAAAAAAGCCCCAATGGTATAGAATTTTGTTCTATGTTCATTTGGGTACTCAATATAAAAATTTCTACCTTTTAAAATTTTTGAGGGCTGGAGAGATGGCTCAGTGGTTAAGAGCACCGACTGCTCTTCCAGAGGTCCTGAGTTCAATTCCCAGCAACCACATGGTGGCTCACAACCATCTGTAATGAGATCTGATGCTCTCTTCTGGTGTGTCTGAAGACAGCTACAGTGTACTCACATACATAAAATAAATAAATCTTTTAAAAAAAATTTTTTTTGAGACAATCTAATGTATCCCAGACTTCCCTTAGACTCCCTAGGTAGCCAGAATGACCTTCAATTTCTGGTCCTCTGTCCTATGTAGCTGAGGATGACACAGTTTATATGTTGAGGATTCTTTTGGGCCTACTAGGCAAGCATTGTACCAACTGAGTTACTTCTTCAGACCTTCTTATTGTTTTATTTTTTGAGACAGGGCCATGCTTTGTAGTTTAGGGTAGCTGAGAATTTACTATGTCGTCTAAGCCTCAAACTCTTAACAATCCTTCTGCCCCAGCTCTGCCAAGTGCTGGGATTCACAGACATGAGTGACTGACTAGACCTACTTTTAAAATTTCTGACTTATAATAAATTCTGTCTAACTATGTTAAACAAATAGCTACATAGACCAGTGCACACAGGTGACCACAGAGAGAGAGAGCGCACCACCTGATGTGGGTGCTGGGAACCAAACTGAAGTCCTCTGCAAGAGTAGTAAGGGCTCAACTCCTGAGCCATACGTATCTCCTGCCCTTTAATACTGTATTTTAAATATCACCACAGATCTGAAAAGTTACAGTCAAAGCCTGGGCCCTGGCAGCCCTAATATTTTAGGCTTGGCCACCTGTCTTCAACAGGCCAATCAGACAAGTAATAATGAAAAACAGAAAAGGGAGATTTACCCAATGTGGTGCCACTGAAAAGAGGAACAAATGAAGACATATAGTGCCTTCCCCTCAAGTCTATCTTCAAAGAGCCAACATGAGGTTTAGATTTAAACAAAGGGGCTGAAGAGATGGCTCAGCAGTTAAGAGCACTTGACGCTCTTGAGTGAACCTGAATTTGGTTCCCAGCACCCACATCAGGCAGCTCAAAACCACTTGTAACTACAGGTTTAGGGGTAACTACAGCTTCGGGAGTAACTATAGCTTTGGGGGTAACTACAGTTCCAGGGGTAACTATAGCTTCGGGGGTAACTACAGCTTGGGAGTAATTACAGCTTTGGGGGTAACTACAGTTCCAGGGGTAACTACAGCTTCAGGGGTATCCAACACCCTCTTCTGGCCTCTGCAGACACCTGTACTCACAGGCATGTACCCACACATATACACATAATTAAAAATGAGAACATATTTTAGGTATAAGGCGGTTCTATACATAACTAAGCAGTTGTGATAGAAGTGTGGTCTCCACAGTCATCACTGTCTGGACTCCAGTTTCTCCTTCAAGGTAGTCTGAGATGTTGTCAGACCTGGGTAAAATCTCTTCCTAAGATAGAAACTCCTATAAGGCAAGGGCCAGGCTATTGAGCCTTTTCCTTCTCTTAGCATGGAATTCCTTCCTCAGTAAATTCCAACTTCTTGGGGTCTCCTGTGTGAAAGGTCCGATGGCCCCAATGGGAGGACACAAGGCATGTCAGAATACCTTCTTTCCTGCTAGTACAGTTATGGTGGTACACGGCTGGAATCCCAGCACTTAGGAGGTAGAGGCAGGAGGCTCATGAGTGTGAGGGCAGCCTGAACTACAGGAGACCCTATTTCAATAAATAAGTCTTTTCCTTATCCTTCCTTTCTTTCTTATTTTTGTTTTTGAGACAGGATGTATTCCTGGCTATCCTGGAGCTCCTAGACCTGAACTCAGAGATCCACCTGCCTCTGCTTCCCCAGTTCTGGATTAAAGGCATGTGTCACTTACTACTGCCCAGCCAATAAATATTTCTTACCTGTATTTAGTTTCAGCACTCTGGAGGCAGAGACAGGGGGATTTCAGAGATGGGAGCCAGCCTAGTCTACAAAGTGATACACACACACACACACACACACACACACACACACACTGGTCTTTTCATGATTTTTAGGTCCTAAAGATGACACAATCTTTTTTTTTTTTTTTTTTTTTAAAAAAAAAATAAAGCAAGGGAGATGAGGAGAGAGGAAGCAACATGGAGGAAGAACCATGGATCTCTAGCAGTCCCGGGTAGCAATTTCTATCAAAAGGTTCGATATTGGGTAACAATTCTAATTGGTTGGGCATCTTGTGTATTGAGCATTTCCAAATGTATAAATCCATTGAATAGTCTTTTTTAAAAAAATAGAAAACAGTTTCTTTTTCACTGGAGAAACATTGTTGAGCACAGTGCTAACTAAATTTCTCATCTCAAAATTTACACTGTCCTGTTTTTGTTTTTAAATCTGTTTATAGAGGGCTGGAGCAGTTAAGAGCACTAGCTGCTCAATCCCAAGCACCCACATGAGAACTCACAACAGTCTGTCTAGTTCTGGGGCATCAGATATCCTTCTCTGAGCTCCTCAGGGATCAGGTACACAGGTAGTATACAGACATACATACAAGGAGAAATCTCATAAAGTACTTGAAGAAATTCTGTTTACATCATGCTGGGCATGATGGCCCATGCCTTTAATTCCAGCACTCAGAAGACAGAGCCAAGAGGATCTCTGTGAGTTCTTGGTTTACAAAGTAGTTCCAGGCCAACCAGGGCTACATAGTGATGTCCAGTCTTGATGGGGTGGGGCTGAGGGACAACACAGCACAAACAACAGAAACTATGCTATGGGGGGAAAAATCTACTTTGTCCACTGCAGGAGTCCAGATGCCATTCTTTTGAAATATTATTTCTGGGTTGAAGTCACCAAATGATCTACTTTGAAAACAAAACAATAAACTAGGAAGCAATAACCAGTTCTGGCAATTGCTGGAACTTACCTCAGTGAAGTCATCACATCAGTCATAATCAGCTCTGCATTCTAGTTCAATCTGTGCCTCAAAATGTCTGACTCAGAGACACACACTGCTTGTTCAAACAAGGTCCAACTCATACAGCCTAATAAAAATAAAATACTACGCAAAGTAGACATTTTCTAAATGTCAATTCACTTCAAATAAAATTCTACCTGCTCTTTATTCTGGAAAGCAGCAGACTTTGGGCTGGGGAATCAAACGGAGGCTTTTAGTTCATGCTAGGCAAACCAGATACGTTCCTAACGTCTCCTTCAGTTATATGATAACTCATAAACCTTTACAGAGTGAAGTTTATTTAACATTTCTAGACTTCTTACTGTACGGAAGTCGGTAGCCCGTGCAAACAAAGCTGTTTTCAAGGTTATTTACATGGCCATCCTCGTGACTCCGCATGACAACGCAATCAGAGCAGCACTCCTCCTTCCTTGTTTATCTCGATGAGGGAAAAGCAACCACACCCAAGGCCTCTGAACCTAGACCTGAGGTTCTAGGATTAACTGGCCCCTTCCCTTCCACAGTAGGCACCCCAAATTGGAGAGGTGGGTGAACCCCGGGTACTGAGTCTAATGGGCATTTCTCCTCTTTCTTTCCTTTTGTTTGTAGATTGCTGAGAAGGGAGAGAATCTGCAGGGACGGCGGTGCTCTGGGCTGGGTCTCTACCTAAGTCCTCAGCTTCCAGCCCCACAGCCACCCCACTCCCACCCACATCTGGGCCTGTGGGCGGCTAGCAACAAGACAAAGCAACTAAAAACACGGGTAGCAGAAGCATCAATGTCCACACTGGAGGGACCAGGGCGAAGCTAGCGACCAGCCAGTGCGAGCAGCGTGGGGTCACAATTCACTCTGCGGCATAAACCCGCCGAGCGAGAGGTACGAGAGGAGGACCACGGGAACTCGGGATGCGGGGTTCGGGACGCGGGAAAAGGAGACGCCCCTCCCCCACCTCAAGCAGGAAACAGCAGTATTTGGCCCAGACGAGTGGCGGCACATGCGCACTCGGTTACTTAGCAACGTCGACGTTAAACTGCCCGAGAACCCAGCCCAGCAACAATCGAGCGTCCCGCGACCTCCACCAATCAGCGCCTGCCTCATCTTTGTCTCCTCACCAATCAGCGCTGGCGCCGCAAGGAAGTTTCCAGAGCTTTCGAGGGCGGGCCCTTTAACTTGGATTCATCCGCTTGATGATTTTTTCATTTTTTTGTACAAGAGGAGACGGGTCGCCGGGAATACAGGGGCGCTCGTTTGGTAGGGTTCTTTCCTTCGGTTCTGAGGAATCGGGAGCTCTGCTGAAACGCCTAATTAGTCTGCGGGAGGTGGGGCCCGCGGAACTACTTTCGGTGGCGCAGGAAGACGACAGCTACGTAGGAGTGAGTAGTCACGCAACAGACGCTGCATAAATAGCGGCTCGCGCGGCTGCGCTGCTCAGTGACGAGAGGCTTTGTCCGGTTCTACGGTCTTTCCGTGAGGGTGTTTCGACGCGCTGGGCGGTTTGTGCTTTCATTGCATTCATTAACAGGTATTTGTCTGCGGCGTTTGAATCGTGGAAGGATTAATTAGACAGGGGGCTTACGTGAGGCTAAGCGGGCGTTTTTTTCTTGAGGTGGGGGAGGGGAGACCGAGGTGACGTGACGAGGCAACGGGCCTTCCGGAAAGAGTGGGCCTTTGGTCGCGTGCGCGGAGCGGGGGCGGCCCTGGCGCGCGCGCCAGGGAGCTTAACGGACGCTTAACCGATGGAGAGTCCATCGTGGTTATTTCAGTGGGGGAAGGCAGAAAAGAGGTATTTATGACTTTGGCATGGTTTATTACGCCAATTTTTATTAAAGGTTTCTGGTTTGAATGTTTTTTATTTTCAATGTATCATGTCTATTGTTCGCAAACTTGGATGTCTCGCAGTTGATACGTGTTCCTGATGCCAGTTTCGTGTTTTGAAATGCTTTAACAGTTGGAAAACGTGACAGAACAGATTTTGTGTTGTGACAAAAACAAGAGTTTTCAGTAGGGGTATTCCGTAGGGAATCGGAGATTTGGTAGGCTTTTAAAATTTTACCTTTTAAATTAAAGGTCAAAATGCAGATCTTCGTGAAGACCCTGACCGGCAAGACCATCACCCTGGA